ACAGCTGTGTGCCAGTTACTGACTGCCAAGTCAGCGTGCCAAGGAATGCTGAAGGCCGAAAGGTAGAAAACCATAATCATGATTTGTCTCTTAAGTTGCTTTGCTTTCACATCAGCATGGCTCCTTGGCCTGATGCGTTAGTGGTGGCATCACCTTGCCACGTGTCCATGATAGCTTCTTCTGAGAAGCAAGAGTAGGTTGCACACCAGGTGGATACAACGGACCTTCAGGCAGGTGATGGAGCCTGTCTTGAGGGGGTGATAAATCCCGAGTACGACTGCGCTCCTCTGAGTGGAGCAGCTTGCTGGGAGTAGCTACCCAGAGGCACAGACTGCAAAACCCGTGAAAGGCAAGCGGCTGCACTGGAATTTCAATTGATCAAATACAGCTTCTAGGTGTGAAGCCTCTCTGACTGCAGCAGTAAGCGTGATCACAGGAAGAACATCCACTTAGGTACTTCCAGACTTGCACAGTGAAAAGATGTACTCCAGCGAAACGCAGACCTAACAGGACGACTACGTGTGCGCTGACCTTGTCCTTCAAGATGCAGCCGTGGCTCCTCTGTACGGCCCTTCCACGCGTGCTTGCTCTGAATGAATGCTGCGCAGCCTTGCCCCTCTCGTCCTGTCCCCAAGCACCTCCAACTCCCAGAGCCCCTCTGGGACGTTGCAGCACTGCACTACTGCGCTGCAGGGTTGCATTATCTACCTGAATAGGAGTTACATTTCTTCCAGCCCTTATTTCTTAAACAGAAACCCCCCGAACTTCTGGCCTCGAGCAAGATGATATACAATACGAAAAGAAAGGAAGGCGCAAACATAAGGATGTTTCTGAGTTAGCAAAATAAAACTCTTATTTCTGCACTGCAAGTTAAAAGACCACAGAATTAAGGAAGCTTGAGGTGAAAGCTAGCATGCTGCTAACTTACCGCCACAGCAGTGTCATTTAATACGTAAGCCACCAAATAGTGTTTTAAGAACAGAAGAGTCCGAACACCAGTAGCAGATGTGTTCCTTATGGACAGCTTCTTTAACAGAATTGAAACAAATGTGGCACTCCAAAAAAAAAAATTGCCACTGCTATCAATTTAGCAGGCTGGCTGTAATAGCAGAGGGCTGCTGTCGCTGAGCAATTACTGCAGAACTGTGTGTCAGGACTTCCCCTTTCCCTCTGTTCTCCATGTTTCTCCACCAAAAAAAGCCACCAGAACTGCTATCTCACGCCTCCCATGTTTCTAAAGTTTTAGAAACTTGAAGGGAGGCACAAGAGGATTGCTAAGCCTAAGAAATGTTTTGCATAGCAGTAGCTTTTAAGAGGAAAATTAAATTTCATTCTCTACCTCATTTAAAAAACCACCCCACATTCTATCCTGTAAATCCATCGTTATGTCCAATTCAGATGTAATGCAACAAACTAATTCATCAAGCTTTAACATGTCCCCAAAGACACAGCCTTCCAAAATCATTTCACCCTTGTTATATAGAAAATACATTTCCTTCTTTATGTATTAAATAACTTTTTAAAAGGCAATCTTTATTCAAATACAGACAAAACCTGTACCCTCATCAGCCCTTGACAAGACGCTTCATCAGTGGTAATGGGAAGCTGATCCAGCAGTAAGAACAATCTTACATTTAAAAGTCCTCACGAAAGCCAAATGCTGAGCTTTTGATTAGAGGAAACCTCCCAAATGTGAAGCCCAAGAGCAGTGCACAAGGATGCTTCAATGAATGCATTTAAAACTTTGCACAGGCAACTGTCTGTAAAAGTAGCGAATTTTCAAACTTAGAGAAGGTTTAAGCACAGAGCTTCTTAATGATCTGTACTTCTGTTGAATAGGATGAGGTCTGGGAAACCTGGACTGTTAGAGGTAACAGGGAGAAGAAACAGAGTCTGGGTTTTTGAATAATAAAAAAGTGTAATTCAAGTGCTGTGTAACAGACTTATAGAATTAAAATTCCTCAATAAAATTAAGCAAAGTCACATTTCTGAGGCACGTATACAAAAATTAATATGCACAACAGTTTCCTTCTTTGAGAGGATACTAAAGGTCTCTATGGCAAAATGATTCTCATTTTCACACGCTGCAGCACTGTCACATTTTACAGTTGCAATGTGGATACTCCTTGAAAAAACTATGAATTTACTTTGAGGTCTCACTTGTTTAAAGATAAATTCCAAAGAAGACAAGATTTCGAGTCTGAGCTTTAATACCAGAACTAGAACACCATTTCTTGAATTCATCTAAACAATTTAAAATCCTGTTTCAAATTCTTATGGCACAAGACTGGCTCAGAATTGAAGGTCCACTTGGCCAATTAAAAAAAAAAAAAAAAAAAAAAAAAAAATCCACCAAAAAGTCCCCAGACCAAAAGATACAAACCAGAGCTTTACAAAGAATGAGTCAGAACTGAAGGCAGCTTAAGGCTTCATTAAAGTAATTGCCAAGTTCTGCTGTTACTTGTGTAATCCATTCTTTAAACAGACTTCAGTGGGATTGCACAGATACAATGCAGAGCAAAACTGGCTCATACTGCCCAGTTTGAGCAAGATACAGTCACATTATCTTTCGCGGGATTTAGAAAGACAGGAGAACAAGTTTAATCCTTACTGCAAGGATCGTTTTATTCTCCCCCACACACTCCTTGAGTACAATTAGAGATGACTTACAAAAATTAATGCCACGCACACTAATAAAAAAAACTAGCGTGGGGCAAAACTTAGTCTCAGTATTTTGATACTTTTCTGCCACGTTCTGACAGAACTGAAAAACAGATACAGCATGGCTTTCATCTAGGCATCTGTTGGCAGTACAATCAATACAAGATGATATAATGAATCTGGATAATCACTGGTTTATAAAGCTGTCCTTAGTCTGTCGTTGACCTTCTGTACCAAAATCTAGCCCTGTAGTCGTCACTGCAGGTCATGAAGCCAGGATTGGTAGGAGAATGGACAATGCAACGGACAATGCTGTTGTGCCCAAGAGAAAGGAGATTTCTCCGTTCAGCAGTTCTTGAATCCCAGCAGCAGAGACTTATGGTCCTTTCATCTGGAAGCAGCACATAATCTTCTGTGTGGTTGAAGACAGCTTGCGTCCTGTGTACTTGTCGTCCACTCAAACCAGCACCTAAATATATGCAGCAAAATATTAACCCAAATAGGATCTGGTTTAGAAAGTTTCCAAAGACCTAAGAATAAACCTCCCATAAGTATCAATTTCTGCAGTCTGCAAATGAGCCTTATTTTCTCAGTTAGCCTACCACTTCCACACACAACAGGTGAATCGATGATGAATATTCTTTTGTAGTTATATACATGGCATATGCTAAAATTTCTTGGAGGACAGGAAGATTAACTACTCCAGCTGTGTCAGTCAAGTCCAACCACTCAGCATGAGTGCAATCACTAAACTTCAGGAGCACTTTTGCCTTACAATTTTTGTAGCAGGCTCACAGCTGTAACTAAGGGGAAAGACCACAGATAGCAGAAGATGCAGATTCTCATTCTCAGTGACAACTTTTGGTTTTAATGTATATATCATATGGCACATTGTATGACCTACCTCGGCCATACCTCCACTCCACAGCCTTCAAGTAAGATGTGTGTTTCATACACAGGCATTTACTTTGCAACACACACACCTGCGTCCTACCTGATATTTTGCAAAAGTTTATCAAGGAGGTGCTGCACCCTGCTGGTTGAGAGCAAAATGGAGCTAGCGTACAAAAAAGGACCGCACACATCCCAAAAGCTGATACAGAAAATTTTCAACATCCTCTCCTCTTTTATGCTATGACTCCTTATGCTTAAGCACATTACTACCTGACCTAAAAGCTTCCCCTGTCACGTAGCTGCTATCATATGCAAAGCTTCTACATCCTTGACCATTTCTTAAGTCCTGCTGAGATCAAAGCATGGTATTGTCAGCATGCTCCGAGTAGGCCTACCTTGCACACAATTGCATCCTGGGGGGGGG